GGAAAAGCCTCCTTATTTATGGCATATTTCTAGGTTGCAGTCCCTGCAGAGCTTATCTTCCTGGCTGGACCTCCAGAAGTGAGGATTGCCCCAGTCTGCTGGCTCACTGTACTTGGCCGAGTTTCAAGAAGGCAGCACAATGGACCTGCGTCCCTCTCTGGGAGCTGTTTCACCTGCTGCTTTCTCTCCCATACCTGTGTACATACAAACTCAGTTTGCGCAGAAAGCTTGGAGTGGTCCTCTTGATCCTTCAGGGAGAGAGGAGGTTTGGTGGATGCAGGTGATAACACCCAGCCCACTGTCAACATGCCCATGAAAGCTCTGGCATCCCTTTTCCTGCCTCCAAGCTGCCAGGTTGGCTCTGGCCTGCATGAGCAGAGCTGCAGCCTCCAGCTCCGGAGCCAGCGGGCTCCGATCCCACTGGTAGGAAAGGCAGGGAAGTAAGTTGTCGTTTGAGGCCTGTCATGTTGTAGCAGCAGCTCTGATCTGTGCCTGGTTCTCTCTGGCAGAGGCCACCAACGGGACCGTGCCGCAGGGTCAGCGCCCACCCCCGCGCATCAAGAACTTCCAGATCAACAACCAGATTGTGAAGCTCAAGTACTGCTACACGTGTAAGATCTTCCGGCCGCCCCGCGCCTCGCACTGCAGCATCTGCGACAACTGCGTGGGTGAGTGGTGCTCAGGCCTGGCCTGGCCCTTGCAGAGAGCCTTGGGACAGGGACAGACCTGCGCCCAGGCTCGTGCTGGGCAGCTCTGGGCTGGTGGAATGTCCAGGCTGCCTCGTCTTGTGTTTGAGGAGCTTGAGGTTTGCTCAGAGCCTGGAGCCAGGTGCTTTCTCTTTGCAAGGACTTTGGCAATAACTGAGTCCAGCTGCTCTGTGTACATGTGCAGCCCATTTTTGAGTCCCACTGGATTCTGGCCTTCTGGGACTGAAGGGTTCCAGTGCAGAGTTGTGTCTCAGGTGACAGCAGCTCCTTCATCAGCACAGAGATTGTGTCATTCCCTGGGGTGCCCTGATTGTGGTCTTCCTTCTGTGTATGTAACTGGCTCATGTTCAGCATCACTGCTCCAGGCAGAAATCCTGTCCTTTTGGACCCCTTTCCTCCTCTTCAGATTCCCAGCCTTTGAGTGTTTATGCAGTTTCTTGAACCTTCTCCTGATTATTCCAGGGTAAGAACATGGGGACTCCCAGGCCTTCATCTAACCCATGTGCTGTGGCTGTTGTACCCCAGGGAAAGAAGACACATAAGGAGTCAAGCACAAATTCTATGTTAATGTGCAAAATTACTTATTACAAAACAATTTCGGACTTTCTGACCTCCTGAAAGGAGGCCAGGATATGGGGTCCTGACTGAGCAGAGGTTTGAACATGGCAGTTTATGTCAGCCTGGGGGATTTTTGAAGTGGGAGCACAGGGGCAAGGATCTAGAGGTGGGCAGGGCCATGCCAGGGCAGTGCTAATTTTCATCTTGGCTTCCCCAGAGCGCTTTGACCATCACTGTCCCTGGGTGGGCAACTGTGTGGGAAAGAGGAACTACCGCTACTTCTACCTCTTCATCCTCTCGCTCTCCCTCCTCACCATCTACATCTTCACCTTCAACATCGTCTACGTAGCACTGAGTGAGTCTGTCTGGAAAGCTGGAGAGCTGGGAGGGAGGGAGGGAGGGAGGGAGGGAGGGAGTGGGGCTACAGATGGTGGTGTGAAACCAGAGTTAGGGAGTGGGAAAGGGAGCTGGACTCAGTGGGATGTTCCAGGTGAAAAAATTCTCACTTTTTGTATTGCAGAATCTCTGAAGATTGGGTTTCTGAACACTTTGAAGGAAACCCCAGGGACATATCCTTCCATGGTCACAAGGGCTTGACTTCTCCACAAATGGGGGTTAGTGGGAGCTGCATTGTGGAGTGGCTGCTTAGGCCACTCTGAGTCTTTCCAAGCATTTTCCCCTGGATGACAATGTGGGGAGCAGTTTCTTGGCTTTTGGGAGGAGAATAAAACAGACAACAGTGGCTAGGAGAGGAAGATAAGTTGGTGTTTGTGGGGCAGTAACAGGTGGGCTGGGCCTGCTCTTGGGCCGTTCCCAGTCCTTAACTGTTCTCACTGTACTGGAGGTGCTCATCTGTTTCTTCACGCTGTGGTCGGTGGTGGGGTTAACTGGGTTCCACACCTTCCTGGTGGCACTGAATCAGACAACCAATGAAGACGTAAGTAGAGCCCTCCTCTGAGCTGTCGCCGTTTCTCAGTGTGTCAAGGCTGTGCATAACACAGGGATCTGGGGGCTGGTGCAGGGTGGCCTTGGAGTAAACCTGAGCTTGTGCCCAACTATTTCAGATTAAGGGGTCCTGGACTGGGAAGAACCGTGTGCAGAATCCCTACAGCCACGGCAACATAGTGAAGAACTGCTGCGAGGTGCTCTGCGGGCCCCTACCCCCCAGGTGAGCTCTTGAGGGGCTGCCTTGACCTTTGTCTTCCACTAGCACTTCTGATGGGAAGAGAGGTGGGATTTGGGGAGACTTGGGTCTCTGATGGCATGGCTGTGTTCTTGCAGTGTCCTGGACAGACGGGGCATCCTGCAGCAGGAGGAGAGCACAGCTCAGGAGGGGTTGTGCCCGCGGGGACCCGGCACGCAGGAGCCCCTGGCCACGCAGGGCCCTGGGCAGGCCCAGGAGGGTGGCATGAAGCAGCAGGACAGCAGCATTCCTCCCGCCAGTGCTGTGAGTGATTCCCTCTGGGAGCTGGGCGGGCTCTGGGACAGTGGAAGAAAGCTGAGAGTGTGACTTAGGAAGGACAAAACTACATGGGGGGCCATGTGAGAGGCTGCTGCTGAAAAGCTTGTTTGCTCTGACCCTGGAAACCAGCATCTTGGTTTCCTTGGATTTCCTCAAAGGAGGTCACAGCTGGCTGCAGTTTTGGAGATCAGTCCTGCCATGAGAGCACTCAGAAGCTGTTGCCCATGGAGCTCGGCGGGGCTGGAGAAGGCTGAGAGGTTGCAGACATCTTGTGCTGGTGCTGAGTGTGAGCTGCAGGGCTGTCCCTGGGATCTCCATCTGTGGAGAAAGCTGTTGTGGCCCTGAGCAGCCTGCTGTGTGTTTGAAATTAGTCCTGCATTAAGGACAGTTTGACAGGAGACCTCCAGAGTGCCCTTCCCACCTAAATTATTCCATTAACATGGTGGGAAATGGCTCGGCTTGCTCCTGCTTGGGCATGAGCTGCCCTTCTCTGGTGGACACAATCCAAGACACCTTCTGCTGAAGCAGTCTAGTGCTCCACCTCTTCCTGAAGCTGCTGTTCTTCCTGTTGGGAGGCCCCTGGTTTTGGTTTCTCCTTTTCCCAAGCCCAGCTGAGACTGCTGCTAGTGGAGCTGGAGGCGGTAGCAGAGCGGCGGGCTCTGTGTGCTCGGGCTGTGTGCTCGGGCTTTGCGCTGGGGGTGTCCCTGCAGGTCACTCTGTCCCCTCTCTCCAGGTCCCTGCGCCGTCTGTGAGCGACACTGAGATGCCAGAGGAGAAGCAGCGAACGCCTGGGGAGCTCCCGGTGCCCTCCCTGGACGCTGGGCGAGCGGAGCACTAGCATCTGCTTGGAAGGGAGAACTTTGTTGTTTTGTCTAATCAAAGCTGGAAGTGGTGGAGGAGAGGAGAAGGGCTGGATGGCAGGCACCTGATTCCCCATGGCCATTTTGCTTTAGTCATTACTCGCCGCGGTGCAGGCAGTGCTGGCCTTGCGCGGTGCTACAGGACAGCGAGCGCGGGTAGCACGCCCTGGTCACCGTGGGGCACTGCCAGCAGACCTGGGCCAGCCTGCACCCTACTGCTGAGGAATCCTCAAGGAAGGGGAAAGCAATGGTGGCAGCAATGTCCTCTCTCCCCTCCTCCCTCCTTCCTCTAATCTGTTGCGTTGTTTTGTGGTTGGCGTGGCAAGGCTTGTCAGGAAACGTTTTGGTGCCCCAAGGACCCAAACAAGTGGGAAGGAGTTCTGCTGGCAGCAGTTTTTACGTAGCTGTCTTCCTGTGCTCCTTTCTTGTGTGATGTAACAAGGCAGCAGCTATGAGGGGACCCTCCTTCCTATCCTGCCCTGGTGCTCACACCACTCTGGGCTTCGAGGGAGGGAGAGGGCAGCCAAGGTGGACAGCTGCAGGGAAGGGTCTGCCTGTGCCACTGGCTCCTGGCTGGTGTTGGGGCTGCATTTGTTGCTGGGTGTTTGCACTGAGCCCTCCCCAGCTGTGGCACAGCAGCTCTGCAGAACCTCAGCCCCAATCTGTGTTGTGTCATTGCGTCCCCATGTCCCCCCCTTGCCTTGCTCTGCTGTTCTCAGCCATCCTGGACTGCCTTTGAGACCCTTGGATCTTCGCAGGATTGTGCCAGCTGCCCAGGGCTGGGCTTGTGTGTCCTCAACAGAGGAGAGGCTGGGGGATGGTTGGGGAGCTCTGTGCTGTGGCAGGGCTCCCCCCACTCCACAGTCCCTGTCCTGCGCTGGCAGGACCCTCACACCTCTGGGATCCCCGCAGAGGTCGCTGTGGAGGAGAGGCCATTCGGTGTGTCCCTTGTCACAGAGCTGGGCACTCGCGTTCCTCCCGCAGGTGTGTGATGGCTGCTGGGGGCGTCCTGCCGGGCCAGTCCCGTGTCCGTGATGCTCCTGGCTGGCACTGAGGGGTGCGGTGTGAACGTGGCACCCGCACTGCCCCTCTCCCGCGGTGCGGGGCCTCTTCTCCCGGCTGAGAGGGCAGAGCTGCCACAGCTGCTCCCAGTTGGAATGTGGCTGGGAAGGAGCCTCGACTGCCCTGCCATGGCCCTCAGCCAGCCCAGCTGCATCCCGTTCCATCCTCCGGGGACAGGGCTCCTGTGCCCCACCCCGTGGGAGTTGCCCCAACACGCTACTGACCCAATCTCCAATTCGGTGCGAAAGTGTGTATTTTGGCTTTGCTGCTCCCTATTCCACGAAGTGTGTGGAGTGCTGCCTGCCAGGACCTGCCTGCACGGGTCAGGGTCTCCAGAAGGAAGGAAGGGGGTTGGGTGAGGATTGGGTGTTCTTTATTTTTTTCTTATTTTTTTTTTAATTTTAAAACAATGAAGGAAAATTAATTGGTTTGAAAATGGCTGAGCTGTAGCCCCTGCGTTTCTGTGCTGCCCCAAGCCAGCTGCCTCTTCCCCCTTCCCTATGCGTTTCCAGGACTCTCCATCTCACACTTCCAGGGTGTCTTAGCTGTGTTGTTTGCATCTTGCTGTCCCCTATGGCAGGTGGGGGGGTCGGGGGTGTCTGTGTGTCCATGCTGAGAAGTGACAGTGTCCTGGGCAGGCTTCAGTTGCCTGCAGACACGGCTTCTGTCCCCAGCTCCCTTCCTGAGCCTGCTGGCAAACCTGGGAAGAGCAGCCAATGCCTGTGGTGTCTTGGCGGGGAGCACAGTGCCCCAGTGTGCTCAGAGTCCCTGCCTCGGGGCAGTGGTGCCATGCAAAATGTCCTGGGGCACCTTGTGCCCACCCAGCATCTGGCTCTGCGGCAGGGGCTGAGCTGGACCCCGAGGTGCCACCACTGGGGCTCTCCTGTTGCCCACCAGCAGCCGTCCCCTCCAATCCAGCCCTCCTATTAGGGCCAGAGTGGAAAGTGGCGGTGCTGGCGGGCTCAGGGAGATTCTGCCACGGAGGGACCCCCCATCTCGGCCTCCTCCCGGCTGCCATCCAGCGTCTCTGATCCCTCGAAGCAGCCAGAGTCCCGGGGAATGTCCCCTTTGGGCTCCGAGGGCGATGGCAGGGCCTCAGTGGTGTCACCATCCTCTGGCTCACTGGCTGCTGGGAGAGGGGCCATGGCGTTAGTGGTGCTGCTGGGGTACCCAGTGGGGTCCCGCCCCCTCCCCAGACTCTTACTGTCATAGTCCAGGAGGAGCTCGGCAGCCGTCAGCAACTTGGCGCGGTGCTGGGGGTCCGTGATGTGCAGTTCGTTCAGGTGGGTCTCCCGAAGCTCTTTGAAGTCCTCCAGGGTCTGGTACCCATTCAGCAGGAGGGTGGGGGTGTGTTCCTGTGTGGGGGGTGTGGGTACGGGTGAGCAGGGCTTGGGTGGCTCCCCTGGCTCCCCCTGACCCCCAGTGCTGGCCTGTAGGTCCCCCCTCAGTGGGTCCATGGTGGGCACTTACCCCCGCATTACCCAGAAATGCCCCACGTGTCCCCTCTGTGGCCCTGGGTGCTTGGTTGAAGGACCCACGAGGTGGGGGATAGTGAAGGGGAGAGGGGATGGTCACACTGCTGGTCCCGTGCTGGATGCTGCTGTTCCCCACAGCCCCTGTCCCTCACCTGCAGGTTGATGCGCTCCAGCAGCTCATGGAGGGTCTTGGGCTTGAGGCGCTTGTTCCGGCTGGAGCTGCGGCTCCTGCGGGCAGGGACCGTCTCCTCAGGGATCACATCCACGTAGATGAACTTGAAGGAGCCCACCCTATTGTTGAGCAGCCCGGTCCAGGTGCCCACAGGTGGCTTCTCTATGATGCTGATGATGTCCCCTTTCTAGGCCAAGGGATGTGGGATGGTGGTGGGCGCAGGTGCAGGGGGGGACAGCCAAGGAACACCCCCAGCTCAGGGGGTGCCCAGCCACCCTCCCTCGCCCCTGCCCCAGGGCCGCAGTGGCCGTGGCTCACCCGCAGCTTCAGGGAGTCCTTGTCATAGGGGCTGGGGGTGAAGTCCGTGTGGACGCGGGCCCGGCCGCAGAAGGGGCCAGTGTAGGCTGGGACAGTCTCCTCCAGCTGCTGGCTATCCCGGGGATCACCAGGGCTGGGAATGTCGCTGCCTGCAGAGAGGAGGGGGTCAGGATGTGCCCGGCTGAGGATGTGGGGCCAGTGTCCAGTCGGGGCTGGCCTCACCGCTGGACATCTGACGTCCGAGGGCTGGGTGCCCGTCCTCCTCCTCCTCCTCCAGCTCCAGGTACGACAAGGGCACCTTGTCATGGCTCTGCTCTTCCACGCTGCTGGCTGGGGACAGGGGGCATGGGGGCCCTTCCGCCTCCACCTCTCCCTGCTGGAGGTACCGGGGTCAGGCTGAGGGAGGGGGACCTGTCCCCCACTCACCTGTCCGTGTCCCACACCCCCTGCTCACCTTCCCCTCGGCCAGCGCTCTCACAGCCATCCTGCCCATCTTGCGGTTCATGGTGCGGGAGATGACCGCCCGCCACTTCCTGCCCAGCTTCGTCCCGCTGCTCCGTGTGGCCTCCTCAGGACTGGCATTGCTGGGATCATCCTCAGGGATCTGCCAGAGGGATGAACAGTGAAGGCAGAGCCCCCCACCCTGGGCAAGCCTCAGCAGGGTCACACAGTGCTGTGAGATTCCAAATCCCACCAGTGCTGGCACCCTGGGGCTGCTCCATGACACGTGGGCCACTGGTAAGACCAGGAGTTTTGGGAAACCAGCCCTGAAAGGGGCTGTTCCCAGGGAAGCAGGATGTGTCAAGGGGTGTTGCTGCCCCGGAGGGTGCTGGGAACTCACATTCTCCTCCAGGCTGAACTCCTCGCTTGACACGGGGGAGCTGACCTTGGACTTGCTGAAGTCCTTGAAGCTGCTGGAACGCTGTAGGGAAAGCTGGGAGCAGGGGCAGAGGTGTGAGGGGGGAGATGGAAAGGTGGGAGATGAGCTTCTTCCTGCATTCCCTGCCACAGCTCCTCTCTGCCCTTTGGACTGCTCTGCCCATCCCAGGGTGATGCCAGTGCTGGGAAGAGTTTTCTGCTCTCTTCCAGGAGCTGCCATGTGTCATCAACCCCCTGGAACTGGGATGTGGAGCTCTTGGTGCCTATGCAGCTGCTTGGCACAGCATTCCCAGGGCAGGGAGGCTCTGGTGTGGAGCCTGATACTGCCATGCTGGGAGCAGCCCAGGGCTGTGCCATGATGCCACCCTGGCATATGGGCCAAGCCGTGAGGGCACACAGGGCTCTGCATGTCCTCTCAGCACAGGTGGGCAGGCAGTGAAGCACAGGTAGCACCAGAGCAACCATGTACCTGCTGCTACCCACAGGGTCAGCTCCAGGACTGAAATCCTGGAGGATTCATCACAAATCCATGTTTTCCACCTGTGAGTGTCACCCCATAGCCCAGAGAGCACACCCCCAGCATCACCAGCTGGCTTGGTGTCACCTCCATGCCTAAGACATCAAAGCTGGTATTGGATCTCAGTCCTGGTACACCTCTCCATCCCTTGCCCCTTTTAGTCTTTCTGTGCCCCCTGCCTGCCTTCCTCTCCATGGCCTCAGGTGCCTGTCTCACATGGAAGGGTTTCTCCATGCCAGGAACACCCTTGGTGCCAGCACAGCCACCTGGTCCCAGGTGTCCCTCATCCCTGGATGGCAGCACCAGCGTGCTCGCACACTGGGGCACAGTGAGCTCAGCTGCCATTGACAGCACTCTTGAGGCCCTCGGAGCACACACCACCGTGCTTGCTCTACCACCACCACCACCAGGGATTTCTATTCTCAAGCAGCTCTGCCAGCTCCTGTTATGGTGGAGGCCTTTCCCAGTCCTGCACAGCCTGGCCCTATGCTGTTCCCTCTTTATTCTCCTTCTCATTGGCTCCACCGAGCACCCCTGAGCACTCGGTTTGGCCATTGCTGAGGGCTGGCTCACGGTGCCACACCCAGCTGCACGCAGACTGTGGCTTCATGCCAGCTCCAGGTGCATCTGTGCAGAGGGGATGCTGGCTTTTGCCCTGCTCCCACCCCGGTGCCCGGAATCCACGAGATCCAGGTCCACTGAACCTCCTACGGCTTCACTGCTGAGATAAAACAGCTCTGAGATAGAACTGCCCTGGGGCTGGAGGAGCCATGGAGAGCCTGGCAGTGGGATGTGAGTCAGGGGGGCCGGGCTCTCCCGGCGCAGAGCAGGAGGGGGAAGTGAGAGTGGCTGTCGCTGGGCAAGGGCAGGGGATGCCCACTGGGACTGGCCGGGCTGGATGGGCCACCCCAGTGCAGGGAGGGGGACTTCACCCAGGTTTCCTGTGGAAGCTTGGCAGAACGGTGGAGCTGCCATGGCAGGATTTGTGCCTGTCATGAGCAGGACCCTGCCACCAGGCACTGCCTCTGCTCCCCGTGGTGACTTGCTGATGTTGATGCCAGCCCAGCAAAGCTTGGCAAGAGCTGAAGTGCCAGCTGGTGCAAGACCTGGCGGGGGATGAGGAGCCAGTTTTGGCCGCCACTGGTGACTTCAGCCAACATGGTGGCACATGACCATGCCACGCAGGGGGCTCTCGAGAGGCCTGACACTGGCAGCTGGTGCTCCTGCGGCTCCACCTCGCAGCGGTGCTGCCGGAGGAAGCGGCTGACGCAGTGACAGCCCCGACCGCAGCACCTTGCTGCGCAAGAGAGCTGCACAGCCGCCACCGCAGCCATGTCCCCCCAGGAAGTGACAGGCGGCCGCCCACGCCTGGGGAGGCCATGGGGGGGCGGGGGGGCACAGCCTTCCCCAGCAGAGCTCCGCGGGTCCCACCGGCACCTGAGCTGGCACCCATGTCGATCCCGGGGGCTGTGCATCCCAGCCACACGTTCCAACAGGATGGAAGGCAGAGTGGGAGGTGGACAAGGCCAGGACCACGCACTGGCGAGGCCACAGTGGCTGGTGGCAGCAGAGACAAACTGATGGCAGGGCAGCTGCCGTGCTGTCCCAACCCCCGGCACCAGCCCTCCTGCTCAGCATCCCACGGCAGCCCAGGCTCGGACAGCTCTGGATGTGCCGGGACATCTGCGACGCTGAGGGCACCTGGATGCCGCCATCACTCACCTTCCTGTGTCCCGGCTCCTTGTCGCCGGCGTTGGAAGGCTTGCGGCGCAGCATGGCGCTGGGGCCGGTGGCGAGAGCTCAGCGTCCGGCGGCGGCGAGCGCGGCCCGTCCCGTCCCGTCCCGTCCCGTCCCGTCCCGTCCCGTCCCGTCCCGTCCCGTCCCGTCCCGTCCCGCGGCACCGGCACCGAGCCGGGAGCGCACAGGAAGCTGGCGGTCACATGAGAGGCCTCGCAGCCGTGCTCGGGGTGGCTGGCGAAGCGCGGGCTGGGGCAGGAGGAAGGAAACCCTCCAGCGAGCTGCGCCCTGCCCGGGGCCCCTGGGTGGGGACGGTGTCTGCGCCCTGACACTTCTCGGCCGTGCCGCCCCTCGGTGGTGCTGCCCGTGCCCTGCCTCCCCTTGGCAGTGCTGCCGCCCCTCGGTGATGCTGCCCCTTGGCCATCTGCAGATGGGCATCGTGTGTTCCCCTATGGAGACGGTGACAGTCCCCAACCCCTCTGTCGTGCCCACCCCCGTGCCTGCTCGTCCTGCTGGGACATGATAGCCAAGCCCTCTGCGTGACACTTGGTCTGGGATGTCCTGTGTATCCGCAGGTCCTCCCGGCTCGGCATCACACCCAGGTGGGACGTGCTCATGGCCACCCCGCTGCTAGCACCTGCGGGGACATCCGTGGCTGGGCTGGCTGCCCTGCATCTTCTCACTCCAAATCCTCCATCTTTTGCATCCTCCTCCTCCCACAATTATAATCTGCCCAAATCCATCTCCTCATTGTCGGCGTTGGCTTGGTCGCCTCAGGACTGGACAAGGTGGCACAAGCAGGGTCACAGGGGTGGGGTTGGGGGCCGGGCTCCAGCCCTAACTCGCCGGCGAGGCAACGCGCAGCGCATCGGGCACAGCAGGGCGCAGCAGGGCCCGCCTTGCTCATGTTTAATCACAGACGAGCAAATAGAATACACCAAAAAAAAAGGAAGTGAGGGCGGGGGAAGACCCGGCCGTGGTGGGAGGGGGTGGTAGAGCCACGGGTGCGGGATCAGGCCCCCAGCCGGCTGAGCAGCACCGAGAGCAGTGAGGCAAGGGCCAGCGTGCCCGCGGCGGCGGTGCCGGCGCTGCTCACCGGGAAGGGCTCGGTGCTCTCCTGCAGCCAGGCGTACGCCTCCTCCAGCCGCTGCCGCCGCAGCTCCGGCCCCACGTGTGCCCGGATCTTCTCGTAGTAGGAGTTCAGGTACCGGATCTGCAGCCAGACACCACGGGGAGCTGCCAGGGGTTGACCTGGGTGCCACCCCCTCCTTCCCCGTCCAGCCTGCCCCACACGCCGACCACTGGCCTCACCTGCAGAGCTCATTGCCCCTCTTCATCCATGCACCCATCCTTGCTCTGTCCTCATTTACCCACTCCAGCCTCATGCCATGATCCTGTTTTTTTTTCCTGCATCCACCCCCCAAGCCCCTGTGCTGACCTCGCATCCCTGCTCTGCTCCCCACCCCGAGCACACCCCCGTACCTGCTCTGGGGACAGGAGGCTGAGGTCGATGAGGTTGCGGTCATAGGGCACCAGGGACACCACCTCGAAGGTCAGAAAAGGCTTCTCCCCACTCTGGTGCTGCCACAGAGAGGTGTCATTGGGTGTCCCCTACCCCCTTGGAGTTGCCCTCACCCCTGACTCGATGCAGGCCCCCATGGTGTGCCACCCCTGTCACCCTGTCCCCCATCGCCCTACCTCAGTCTGTGCCTCCACCACGAGAGCGATGTCCTCAATACGGATCCCGAACTCTCCATCCCGGTAATACCCGGGCTCTGAGGGCCGGGAACAAGCCTGGTGAGCCCCCAGCCCCAGCGGCTCCCCTAGCCCACCCCAGTGGGGCTGGATCTGGCCCTTGAGTGGGGCTGAGAGCTGACACCCTGTCCCTGGTTGGGCTCTGTGCCCAGGGTTGTCCCGGAGAGCTGGGATGCCAGTTGGGGTGCTGGGACATACCAATGGAGGTGAACATGCCGGCCTCCAGTGGCACGTTGTTGGACTGGAAACCCACGGGCCCTGCAGGGACATGTGGTGGGTTAGAGCTCTGTGGATGGATGTGCTGCAGGGACACCCCAGCAAGGACCAAGGTGCCACACCAGAGAGAACCACGGGACCAAACCAAGGACACCCCAGCAAGGACCACAGAGCCACCAAGGCAAGGACTATGGGGCCACCATGGCAAGGACCACCGCAAGGACAAGGATCATCCCAGTAAGGACCTTGGGACCACCTCAGCAAGGATCATGAGGCCACGCTGGCAAAGACCGCAAGATGTTGCAAGTAGGGATTTCCCTGCCCCTTATAGAGGCTCTGCTGGAAGGCCCCAGTGAGCTCCTGTCCTCATCCCTGTCCCCAGAGCTCAGTCCACATGCCCAGCACCAGTGCTGGTGGCACCTACACTCATGGACTGAGAGGAAGTTGCCAATGCCGTGGCCGGTCCCATGGCCATAGTTGAGTCCAACATGCCAGAGTGCCCGGCGGGCGAAGGACTCCACCGTTCTCCCTGGGGAATGAAAAGGTGAGATGGGGGCCAAGGAGCCCATGGGGCTCCGCCGTGCCTTCCTGCTTCCTGTGCCAGGGGTTCTGTGCAGGGCCAATGCTGGGTTTGGCACCCACCTGCTGTGTTGGATGGGAAGATGAGGCGGGAGAGGTCAATGTTGCCCATCAGCACGCGGGTGTAGGCTTCCTGTACAGCATGGCAGGGGGTGAGTGTGGTGGTACCCAGAAACCCACCCCTGCACATCCAGCCCTGGCCAGGACCTGATGCTGGGTACCATAGGGAGTGCTGGGTGGTGCAGGGGGGTGCTGGGCATCTCAGGGTTACCCTGGGAAGTGCAGGGGGGTGTTGGCTGACACGGGAGGGGCTGGTACCTTCTGGAGCGGGGTGGGCTCACCCCAGTGCACTGTGCGAGTGATGTCTGTTGTCCCATCCCTGCAAAGGGGGATCGTGAATGGGGCTGATGCAGCCCCAGCACTGGCTTTGGGGGCCCCTGGATGTGGGGCTGTGGTGGGGGGTCTCTGTTCAAAGCTACGCACAGATATTGCCCTCCGGTGTCAAAGAGATACATCTCTCTCGCAGACAGTGTCCGGCTGCTCCCGTTGGAGGGGCTGCGAGGGGAGGTGGGTCAGAGTCCCCTCCCAGCTGCCCATTGCCCACCGCCCCCTGCCCACTGCCCACTGCTGCCCAGCCATGCCTGTAGTGAGCCAGCGCTGCGTTGAGCCCGCTGGCCGAGATGGACTGGAAGCTGGGCCCACGGCTGTGCTCCTGGGCCCTGGAAGGCAGCAGGGAGAAAGGGAGGTGCTGAGGGTCCCCGGCTGCCATTCCCTGGGCAGGGCAGGCCGGGGGGGCAGCACTGACCAGCGAAATGCATCGATCTGCTGAGCCCCTGAAAACTCGTCCACCTGCCCCTGCGGGACTGTCTTCTCCAGCCACAGCAGGTACTGGATGACGGCCACCGCATCCCGGACCTGGGGGTACCCGGTGACAGCGGGGAGGGAGCATCAGCACCCTGCTTCCTCCGGTCACCCCCACGTTCTGCAGGGGACTGTGGGGAGGGGGACAGCCCTTACGTGGGCAGCTCGCAGCATCTCCTGCTCGTGGGTGTTTTTCACAGCCTTGGCCATCATCACAGGCGAGTAGCTCTCCTCTAGCAGCTTCTCCTGTGAGAGCAGGCAGAAAGTGACACAACTACCTGTCCCCTCAGGTGCCGGGTGCGGCCACAATGCGGTGAAATGGGGCCGTCCCCAGCCTGCAGGATCCACATGCCCCATGGCCAGGTTCGGTGCCCACCTGGGGGATGATGGAGTAGAGGCCATAGGTGGTGTACTCGGTGCCCAGCCACACGGTGACGTTGCCCTGGGCGTAGCAGAGCAGGTGGGCGCTCACCTGCCCGTACTCCTGCAGCTCCACGCACAGCGGCCCCGGGCAGCCCGAGCGCAGGGACTCCCGCGCCGCCACCGAGAGCCGGGACTCCTCCACGAACAGGCTGGGGAGGGAGTGGGATGGGGCGGGCACAGACGTGGTGGTCACCTGCTGCCTTTGGTCCCCCCACGTCCGGCCACACCAGCAGAAAGGAGGGACCTGGGGGGCTGTGAGGGGATGCTGGGCTGGGAGTGGGAGAAACTCAGGCTGTGAGGAAAGGGAGTGTGCCGTGCCCTGGAGTGGGCTGACAGCAGGGGGACAGATTGGGAAAGATGTGTGGCTCAGAAGGACAGTCAGTGGGGCTGGGCATGGCAGGATGGAGTGGCTTTGGGGATAAGGGGCTGAGAGGAGGGTCCCATGGGGGCTGGCTCAGGAAAGGAAGGCTGGAAGGGGGGTGGGTGGTGACCCCCCTCCAAGCCCTGTGCCCACAGGGATGTGCTGCCCACCTTATGGTTGTGTTGGTCAGGAGGGTGTAGGAGTAGAAGACAGGGTTGTAGGGGATGTCATCTCCACGGAGGTTGAAGAGCCCTGCCAGGAACGAGACCTCTGCACCCATGACTGACACCGCCCTCCCACCCCCAGGGTTCAATCCCGTGGCCCCTGCCGTGATCCCAGCACGGCACCGTGGCTGCTTACAGGCTGTCTCCTCCAGCCCCGACAGCAGCACGGCTGTGGGGCGCCGCACGTGCTGCTCCATCTGCTGCCGGATCCCAGCCACCTTCTCCTGCCAGCTGCTCCCTGCCGGTCGGGAAAGTGGTCGGCTCAGTGCAGGGACCACCGCGGCCCCAGGCTGGGGGTGCTGTGGGTGAGCTGCGGGAGGCTGGGGTCAGACCTGTGAACTCTGCTGGGAGGCTGTAGATCTCACTGGAGGAGGGAAGGGGTCTCTGGTCACCCCATGCCTGATCCACAAGGTTGGTCTCGAGGGGGAGCAGGGTCCGGCCGGAGCCGTGCAGAGCCTGGCTGTAGCTGTTCCAGGTGTCTGGGGGGTGAGCAGCCCGCAGGTTTGGGCTCCTGGTAAATTCACACCCAGGGGCTGCCCTCCCGTGGGCAGGGTGACCCACGTGTCAGCCAGCCCTACCGATGGAGAAGAGGAAGGGGTCCAAACTGACGGTCCCCTCCTCAGGAACCTTCTTCAAGATCCACATCCCAATGGACTCGATCGAGGCTGCAGGAGAGAGCTGGGTGGCACCGCGAATTTGCGCTGAGCCCAGAGGAGGCTGTGGCAGGGGCTGGGGGGTCCCTGGAAGCGGGGAGACTCAGAAGCCCCCCATCCTGCCCCCACTGACTTGTCCTCTGCAGCTCCCAGTTGCAGTCCAGCTCCCGCTCCGCCTGGGTCCAGTAGCGGCTGTCAGTCCACAGGGCAGCCTTGTCCTGCGTCACCACAGCGGTGCCTGGGACAGGGGTGGGGGCTTAGGGCTCACTACTTTCTCTCTCCCTGCAGCCGGCAGGGACCCCCAGCGGCTCTCAGGGAGTGAGACCATGCCGTGAGCACGGATCCCCAGCGATGAAGACCAGCAGGCAGGAGCCAGCCCCCGAGCAGCGGCCCCAGGATTTGGGGGGTGTGCTCACCTGCGGAGCCGGAGAAACCAGTGAGCCAGCCCAGCCGGGCGTCCCGTTCGGAGATGTACTCGCTCTGGAGCCGGGATGGAGCCATGAGAGGTGGCTGTGGGCAAGGAGCGGGTCCCCGGGGTGCGGGGGACTCCCACCTTACCATGTGGGCATCCGTGGAGGGCACGATGTAGGCGTGGACGCCGTGGGTCTGCATGATGCCCCGCAGCACAGCCAGACGCGCCGTCGTGTTGGTGGCCGTCGGTGGCAGGTACTGGTGGCACAGGGAGACGTGCTGGGACTGGGGGGGGACCCTATGCCGGGGGTCTCAGGAAAAGGGAGGGGGAGCAAGACGGGGCTCACCGGCGGGTCCGCGGAGCAATCCCGGATGTCATTCCTGGTGGAAGGAGCCTGTGGCGCCCATCCTGAAGCACAGCCTGTGGGCACGGCGGCACCCGGGAGCCTCAGGCTGCAGCCTGGGGGCTTGCTGGACCTCTGCTCCAGCCCGGAACTGCACCAGGCAACTGTGACCCTCGTCCCCAGCCCCAAACACCAGCCAGCCAAGCTTGGGGCTTTTTGCAAAACTCAGTGGTTTTAGCCCCAGGAACAGTGGATGAAAAACAACGTCATCCCCTGGTTCAAGAGAAGATAAATCTGCCTGGGATCATCACGGGGAGCAGCTGGTGCCCAGCAAAGAGCACGGAGGGGCTGGCAGGAGCCCGCCTGGAGCATCCCAGCACTGGGGCTGCAGAAGGAACTGGCTGACGGTGGGGCCATGTCCAGCTGGACCTGACCTCTCCCCAGGGCTGCTTGGCACAGGGTCCCACCAGCGCTCCCTGGGCTCTCCATCACCAACTGGCACCTAGCCTCTCACTTTGGGCCAAAGGCACACAGCTTGGGTTAGTGGACAATGCATGAGGGGGTCTTCCTCAGCATGAGGGGCTTTGGGTAGCAGGTGTCTGCACCCTGGGGGTCTGCTTCTTACCTGTCACCTGCCCCGGGCCCGCCCCTGAGGCAGCCGGGCAGGGTGAGCCCCGCGACACAGTCTGGCTCCTACCCCGGTGTGCCCCACCTTTGCTTCACGCAGAGCTGTGGCTGGGGCATCCCACGTTCTCCACATGTGGCTCCTGGGGGACCCCAGTTGTGCCGTCCCACCCCAGCGCCCCGCGCACCTTCTGCCGTGCCGCGGAGCAGGAGCGCCCAGGCTGCGATCCAGAGCGGGGGGCACATGGCTGCCCCGGCCAGCCGCGACGGGCACCAAGTGCGCGACAGGTCTCTCCTCCTGTGCCTTTGCCCCAGGGGCAGAGGGATGCGGAATGGGAGGGACGAGGTCTCAGCAGATACAGGGCGTGGGGGCCAGGGTTGTTGTCCCTTTGAAAAGTGAATTCCACTGCTAAATAAAAGCAAACAGCAAAATCAGCACAAAGTCCAAAGATCCTGCAGGAGCAGAAGTGGGAGCGTGCCAGCTAAGCCTGGCACCACCTAATGGCCAGGGAGAGGTCAGGGAAAGGCTTTGCTCCCTGAGGAACCCCTGTGTTTTGGATCTATGGAGAGCTGACATGGGATCTCTGGGGTGAGGGCCAGATGTCCCCCAAGCCAATCAGCCCCCGAAGCCATCCCTCCTCCTCCACAGGACATGGAGCCATGCAGGTGGGCACGAGCCCCTGTTCAGTGCCCGTGACCAGCAGCCTCTGCTGAGGCTGCACAGGGACCTGTGTTCCACGGGAGGATCCTGCTGGGATGTGCCCTTTGTCCCTCCAGGCCCATCAGCTCCGCACCTCCTTGCATCTGCCTTGCTAAAACCTCATTATCTCTATCTTAAGGAGCCTTGGCCCCGAGGCCTGTCACTTTGATTGCACAGGTAATTCCTCCAGCAGCTTTAATGACTCTGGCTGTCTGCTGGGAGAGGGGCAGACCTGCTGCCACAGGCATTGGAGGTGTCCGTCCCTGGCATGGACACAGATCTCCAGGGATGAATGCACGTCCCCACCCAGGACAGGTCAGGGGTCGTACATTGGTTGGGTCTGGAAAGGACATCAGAGATCCCCTTGTTTGACCCTCTGCCATAGGCAGAGACAGCTTCCACTATTCCAGGTGCCTCCAAGCCCCTTCCAGCCTGGCCTTGGACACTTCCAGGGATGGGGCAGCCACAGCTGTTCTGGGCAACCTCTGCTGGGGCCTCCCCGCCTTCATAGGGAAGATTTTCCTCTGTCTATGTAATCCACACCAACTCTCTTTAATTTAAAACCACCCTGCCTTAATCTGTTGTAATGGGCCCTGCCAAAACATTTGTCCCCACAGATTCACATCCCCACCCTCCCAGAGCACTTCCTACAGGATCACTGCTTATCACAGCCCATGAAGGTCTTTGGGATGAGATCCCCTGTTCCTGGGCCTGGGGTCCCTGCAGCCCAGCTCTCACAGGCTCAGCTCAAGGCCAGACAAAGCTGGATTTGTGTGGGGACTATGAACTCTCCTAGCTGCTGCCTCTTCCCAGTGGCACTTCATGGCCTGTTGGGCACACAGGTGTTTACCCCTCTACCCTTGCAGTGACAGTCTGGCTGTGTCAGCACACCGACTGTCCAGCTGTGTCACTGAACTCTCTGGCTGTGTCACTGTTCTGACTGTCCAGCTGTGTCCTCTCAGGGACAGTTCTGCTGTGTCCCCACACTGTTTGGTGTGTCCACGCCTGCCTGTCCAGCAGTGTCACCATTCCACCCGCCGTGACACCGCTCCGACTGTCCGGCTGTGGCACTGGGACCCTGCTCACCACGAGGTGGCACCAGGGCTGCGCCGTGGAGCCGCAGACCCCTGTCCCGTGTCCCACTGTCCTGTGTCTTGTCCCTAACCAACCTGCAGCTCCGGCAGCAGCAGAGCCGGGGGGACCCCGGGCCATCCGCTCCGTCCGGCTGAGCCCTGGAACGCTCATGTCATGAACGCTCTCGGGCTGCCTGTGCCGGGCATCACCCGCTGGTCCCCCCCTGTGAGAGGAGCCCAGGAAGGGGCAGGGCGGGATCCCCATCAGGGGCAAGACAGAGACAGGTGGGAGAGGGACACCAAAGCTGCTGCGATTGTTACGCAGCTTCCCAAGGACGCGGTTCGGTGCCGTGGGTACAGTCAGACAGCACTTTGCTGCCATCCCGTTCATTAGTGAGACGCGTTAATGGGGCTTCGTCCTCCCTGCCTGGTTCCTGCCGGGGCCGGGGGCTGCACTCCTCAGCCCAGGGCTGCACCCCACTCCCAGGGGGTCCCCACGGCAAGGGGGATCCTCACCCCCTTTACTCCTGCCCTTTGAGCTCCACCCTGCAGTGCCCTCACCCGGGATGCCATCACCCGCAATGGCAGCCCCCTCCTCGCCCGGCTCGGGGGTGGCACGGGCCGTCCCCGGGGACCCCGGGCCGCGTGTCGCTCCGAGCCAGCGTCAACAGGACGAAGCTCCTTGGCCGCCGTGCGTCCGGTGGGGCCCGTCCCTCCCGCGGGAGGTTTCCTCGAAGACGAGCCGGAGGAAGGCTTTGGGGGGACATCCTCCCTTTGTGGGCTATTGTTGGCCTTCCGTCACCTGCAGGGGCCGCGGGGTGACTCAGGCCGGGGAGACGCGCCCGGCAAACAGGACGCGGGGAGGGCGAGCGGCCGCAGGAATGCGGAAGCCGCTGGTGGCACCGGGATGCTGCCAGGATCCCTGAGGGTGCCCTGGCAGGCTGGGTGTGCCCAAGGGCGGGCTGGGGCGTCCTCCCTGCACCGCAGAGCTGGGCAGCTGGGTTGCAGGGATGAGGCTACAGCTCCTGCTCCCCCTGAAGAAGCACTTTGGGGGTGCACAGCACTGGCAGGGGGTGCTGACCCCACATTGGACCAGAAGCGGGGCCTGCAGGAGAGCCTGGCTGGGGCGAGAAGCTTCAGCCAACAGGGCTGGAACAGGTTCAGGGGATGTGCCCCTCCCGCGGTACCACAGACATGTGTGGGGCTGGGACATGATACCCACACAACGGGTACAGCCTCTCCTCACATCCCCCCACTCCTCCTGTAGCCCCTCCTAGAGTCCCCCCTCACAACCCAATGCATCACCAGCCCCTCCTAGAGCTGCCCCATACACCCACCCCCCTACAACTCCTCCTTCAGTCCCCCCATATGCCCTTCTTTGCCCCCACACCCTGTCTGGGCCACCCCCTGTCCCCTCACCCTGCTGGCAAGGGCTCTCTCAGGGTGCAGTTTTAGTTGTGATCCACCTTTTTGAGGGTCGATGACACCCACCTTTGTGGAGGCTCACCCTGGCCAGGTGCCCCCAAAGCTACTGCATCACTGCCTCCTCAACTGAGCAGGGAGGGAAAATACAAAGAAAAGATTGAGATAAGGACCAGTACATCACCAGATGCAGGCATGGGTAAAACAGACTCAGTTTGGGGAAATTAATGGAATTTCATAAAATCATGGAATAATGGAATGGTTTGGGTTAGAAGCGACCTTAAAGCCCATCTTGCTCCAAGCTCCTGTCTTGGGCAGGGACACGTTCCACTATCCCAGGTAGCTCAAAGCCCTGTCCAACCTGGCCTTGGACACTTCCAGGGATCCAGGGGCAGCCACAGCTGCTCTGGGCAACCTGTGGCAGGGCCTCACCCCCTCACAGCCATGAATTTCTTCCTAATATCTGATTTAAATCTCCCCTTTTATATATTTATCACCAATCAAATCAGAGCAGGGTAATGAGAAAAACTCCCAAACCTTAACCCCTTTTCCCACCTCTCCCTTCCTCTTGGGTCCAAAGTCATTCCTGATTTCTCTCCCTTCTCCCCTCTGCAATGTGGGCTGTGGGCAATTCACCACACACTGACCCCTCTGCAGACACTGCCTGGCTGGGGGGGCTGGAGGGGACGGTGGGCGGGCAGGACAGGCCCCTGCCCCCTTGGGTGCCAGGGGAAGGGGGGCACTGGGAGGGGTTGCGTGTGCCAGGTGAAGTGGAGGGTCCCAGAATCTGAGGATCAGGCTGGGACGGGGGTCCCAGGACGAGAGCGGAAGGGGACATGCTGGATCCAGGCTGTGCAGGGGTCCCACGCCAAGGTGGATGCAGTGTTAGGATCTGGGTGGGGGGGTCCCAGCACCATGCAGGGTAGGGAGTCCTGGACTAGGCTGGGCAGAGGCCGGGCTAGGCTGGGAGCGGGTCCCAGATTCGGGCTGGATGGGAGCCCCTGGACAAGCTGGGGTGGTCTCAGAGGGCTGGGGACGCGATGAGGGGACTGCGGGCGGGGAATCCCCCGGAGGATGTGCCGGGAGGAGATCAGGCAGCAAACCGGGATCGGGGGGAACCCGCTGAGGTGTCCCAGCGGCGGGGCGGGGCAGGGCGGGGGGCGGACACCTCCCCCCCATCCCGGGGGCCAGATGACGGGAGGCGGCGGGGCCGGGCCGGGCTCTCACCGCCTACAAATGCGGCTCCCTCGGCGGCCGCCCCCGCCGCCCCCCGCCGCCCCCCGCCATGGCCGCGCCGCGCCGGCTCCTGGCCCCGCTGCTGCTGCTGCTGCTGCTGCTCGGGCTCGTCCTGGCCGCCCCCGGTGAGAGCGGAACACCCGCGGGGAGCCCACGCCAGTAGCGGGGGATGAAGGGAGGGAGTGAGGAAAGAGGGGACCGCGGGGACCGCGCCGGGGTGGCCGCGGGCTGGGGGGCGCAGGGATCCGCTGCCGCTGGGCTGGGGAAAGACAAAGCGCTTTCTTTGGAGCCAAAAAACCCCCGGTCCCCGTGGGAGCGGGAGCGTCCCGAGCCGCGGTGACAGCCCCGGACATCGCCGGGTCCCGCAACCGGACCCACGCGGGGCACGGCCCCGGCCCCGGCTGCCAACAGACCCCGCGGGGGCGCCGGGACAGGAGCTGGGACCAAAGCATCCCCGCCAGGCACCCAGGGGAGCAGAGCATCCCGGCTCCAGGGCCCCGAGGGAACGGAACCACTGCTCGGAGTGCCGGCACCAGGCACGACGGGGATGCGAGAACCGGCTCGGGGTGAAGGGCTGAGTGTCTCGGTGGCTCAGAGAAGGGGGTGGCTGTGCGGAGGGCTGGGGCCGAAAGCAGCGGCTGAGCAGCCGCATGTCCCGCGCTGCGGCTGGTGGCCGTGGCCGCACGAGGTGGCCATGGATGGCACAGGTGGCCGGGCCGTGCCGGCACAGGAAGCGCTTGGCAGCGACGGCTCTTGTTGGGGACAATCCAGGAAACCGGCCGGCCCAGGGCCAGGCAGCCCCACGGTACTGCTGTCCCTGTCCTGCGTGGGGGGACACGTGGCTAACGCTGTTCCTGATCTCCTCAGGGCCGCTGGGGAAGGCGCCGGACGGGAAGGATGCCCAGGGTGGTCTCACCCGAAGGCTGGTGCGGCCGCGGGGGGCACGGCGTGGGACCGGCCAGCGGCCCGGGGGCTGGCGGAGGTACCGGCGGCCCCGGCCCCGGCTCTCCCACAAGGGGCCCATGCCATTCTGAGCCAGGTGAGATGCAGTGGGGCACGGGAGATGCAGGGAAACGTGTGACAGTGTCGTGAGGAAACTCGTATGTACTTGGGCTTGCTCTCGTTGCAGGGGCACCACCAGCCTTCCGCGGACACGGCTTCCATTGCTCGCGCCCCGTTCTCGCCCGATCCGCTCATCGTCCGGCCCTGAGCCTGGGGTCCCCCCTGTAAGGCCTCGGACGGCCCCACCTTCTCCCGGCAGTTGTCCGTGGTGCCATGTCTGGCACTGTGGCCTCTCCTCACTGCCTCGTATGGCTGGCTGGATGGGGGTTGCCCACAGAGGGGCCAGGGTTGCCACGATGCCCTGGTGGGCATGGGACGACTGGCTCGGGCATCGGCCCGCTGGGACCACGGGCTTTGTGCAAAGCACTTTGTCAGGCAGAGCAGCTTCTCCTCAGGGGTCTCTGAGCTCTCTCGGGGTCCTGCCCCAGCCCTGTCTGTCACCCTTATGCCAGGGGGAGCACACAGCTTGTCCTGGGTCTATTTATTCCCATGGTGCTCATCCCACACCCTGAGTGAGTTGCCCTCCCTTTCCCACTGGGAGACCCACCTCGTGGTGGAGTGGGGTGCCCACCCAGGACACACTGTGGGGCCCTGGGCCCCTCTGCTTCATGCCATGGGACAGCAGGAATGGGGGGCACTGGGGTCTCTGTCAAGCTCTGCCATGCACCAAAGGAGCGGCCCTGGCACTGAGCTGGGCCCTGATGATTGTCTTCTGTGTCTGTAAAGATTTATTCCATGTAAATACATCTTTATAATAAAGAGTTATGATTATTAACTCAGGAAATGCTGATTTCTGGAAGGGCAGGTAGGGGCTGCTCTCCTGCTGGTGCAGAGGGATCTGAGGTCAAGGACCCATATGGGTGACAGGAGGGTCAAGGCTTAGAGGACTGAGGATCCTTGTAGGATCCTGCAGGTGGGGAGGAGGGGCTGAGCCCTGCAAAGGGCTGGGACTCCACGGAACGGGACACCCCCAGCCACGGCTGGGACGCTGGGAGAGGGGGTGCCCATGCGGGGCCTCCTGATTTCTGGAAGGGCAGGTAGGGGCTGCTCTCCTGCTGGTGCAGAGGGATCTGAGGTCCCTCTGCTTCCTCCTGGGGCTGTCTATAGACACTGGGGGTCATGGCTGGGACCGTGGCAGCCCCTTTCCCAGCCCATTGCTGGCAGAGAAGGTGCTCAGCAAGGAGTGAAGCCGTGTGCTGAGCCTGTGGAATTGGCAAGGAGGGTGGGAAAACACAGGTCAGAGGGGCTGGGAGATGGAGAAGGGGATGCTGGAAGGGCACAGGGATGCTGGTCCTCCTGGGCATCCCTGTCCCTTGTGTTCAGTCACTGCTATCCCTGGCATCCCTGTTTCTGGTGTCCCTGTCCCTGGTATCCCTGGCATCCCTCTGCTACGTGTCCCCACCCCATGGGGCTGGGTGTGAGCAGGACCCATATGGGTGACAGGAGGGTCAAGGCTTAGAGGACTGAGGATCCTTGTAGGATCCTGCAGGTGGGGAGGAGGGGCTGAGCCCTGCAAAGGGCTGGGACTCCACGGAACGGGACACCCCCAGCCACGGCTGGGACGCTGGGAGAGGGGGTGCCCATGCGGGGCCTCCAAACCCCTCACTGTTTGCAGGGGGCTGCCCACGTTCCGGGCGTGGGGCTGCGGGCAGGGGTCGGCAGTGCCGGCGGGGAGGGGGTTAAGGAGCTGCGGAGGAGCGGAAGGGCTGCAGCTGCGGGCTGGGGAAGCGCCGGGACCCAGCTGGCCTCCATTAGCTCATCCGCCGGGACCGGGAGGGATGCGCTGCCCGGCCCCGCGCCAGCGCTCCGGCCGCGTGGCCACCGCGCCCGCCGCACGACCCGCGAACCCCGCCACCCGCGGGGCGCTGCGAGCCACTGCTGCCCCGCGTCCCCGCTGCCAGCTGCCCTGAGAGACCCTGCCACCCCCACCCGGCTTCACGGCCACCCCAGGAGTCACTGCCAGTGCCCCCATGATGGTCTGGGTGGGCGGGCAAAGGTTGCCCACCCACTGCTCAGTCCTGTCCCAGCCCCCATGCCCAGTTTTCCAGACCCAGCAGCCTCGCAGAGCTGAAGTGGAGCAGGACATGGTGCCCCAGCCACAGCCCCCTCCAGCTACCCCCAGCTCCAGCTCTGGGATGTTGGAGGGTTACTGCTCCTCCACTGCCAGCCTACAGTGCTGCTGCTGCTGGTTTGAACTGGGAGAGCTCTCCCCTTGCACTTCAAACCGCGTCTCAATGCCCGCGGTCTGCCTCCCCAGCTGCAGCAGCAGCCACCTTGCCCAAGAGATTTGGTGAGGTACCTGCTGCAGCACTAGCAGTGGGGGGCCTGGCAGACCCCCGGAGCACTGCTGTGGCCGTGGCAGCAAGGCACTGATGTCCCACGTGCCCCAGGAATCGCCCAGCCCCAAGTGCTTGGGCTGCAGCCAGGGGCTGCACAGCTGAGCCCTGACCCCAGCCCTCCTGCACCAGCCTGAAAGGAGGAGGCCAGGGAGGACCTCCTGGCTGGGCTGTGGCCAGCCTGGAAGGAGGAAAAGGCTTCTGGGCTGGGAGACCTAAGGAATCTCTGGCTCTTCCTGGCCTGGCCGGCTGCCCACAGGCAGGTGGGAGCTGCTGAGCTCGGCCATGCTCCCTGTACCTCGTGTGCCACAGCAGTGCCAGAGCTCCTGTACTGCAACAGGAGGTGGGGCAGAGTGGGCAGCAGGCACAGGGGCAGTGCTAGGGACATGGGCAGAGGGGCACGGGGCAGTCCTGTCCCACTTGCTGTGCAAGCAGGGTCTGTCCTGGCAGGGCAAGGATGGGGTCTGCCAGGTCCAGCTCACCGAGCACAGAAAGAGGGATGCCAGGGGCACGGGGAGAGGGCTGAGCAGACACAGGAGCTCTGCAGTCCTTGGAGACCTTTGGCTGTGCCCAGGGGGGACAGGGAGAGCTCACTGCCCACCTAGGGCTGGCAAGGGATGTTCAGTGTGACCGTGGGACACTGCCAACTAGCCCCTCCAGCACCACCACCTGGGTACCACCAGCATCCCTCAGTGCCCATGGTCAAGGTGGGCTGATGCATTAATGAGACCCCCAGAGCTGCACCCCAACAGCCTCCATGGTCCCCCGCAAGGATCCCTGCGCCCTCCCAAGGAGGAGGATGGGCAGGCCCATGTCCCATCCCCAGGGAGCATCAGAGCTCCCCTCTTGCTCCGGCATTTCCGCCGGCAGTGGCAGGAATGTGGTGGCCGCGGGAACAATGCCGGCACCTAGCACTGGTCACCTCCGTGACAGCACTGGAGCAGCTGCCCAGGCACAGCCCTGCTCCCAAGGAGCCGGCAGGAAGCAGATGGAGATGACACCGGCCGCCATTTCCTGCAGCAGGACGTGCGGGCTTTCTCCACCGCCGCTCCCCTTGCTGGTCCAGCAGGGCCTTGGGCACCACAGGCACCACTGCTCTGGGCTGCCGAAGCCGTGTGCTGCACACAGGCACCAGCACCCTGCTGCACCTGGCCGGACCCAGTGCCATCTCCATCCCGGCGTGGCACGTGCCACCACCCACGGTGGAACGGGCACTGGGCTGCAGTGCCAGCACATCAAGGGTGCACGCAGGAGCTCAACCAGCAGGAACCTGTGGCATGGGACCCTCTGCCACTGTTCCCAGCTGTGCCCAGCACGCTCCTGGAGTGGCTGGGGAGAGCCCAGCCCTCAGCTGCCCCAGGAGCGAGCCTGGAGCTCCGTGACAGTGCAGAACTGCATGAGGGAGGGCAGGTGTGCCCTGCACAGCCCCCAGGCCTTGCACAACAGAGGTTTATTTGGAACTAATAGTTTCCCAATAAATTATGTAATTTAAAAATTTTAAGGATAAGAAAAAGGCAGAAGGGAGGGGAGCCTGCAGCAGCTCAGCCAGTGCATGGGGACCACAGGGCCACACGACACCCTGGGCTAAGCCCAGGCACCAGCAGGGACTCTGTGACCTCAACCCCTTCCCCTTGGCTTTGGCCTCCCTCACCTGAGGCCATGTGGCCCCACAGGCCTCAGTGTTTCAGTGGGACAGGCCCCTCTTGCACCCTCAGTCACCAGCCCCAGGGCTGTCCCCTCAGCCAGCTGTGTGCGACCCTTGCACTGCAGCCCCCTCACACAGCCCCCTCAGCTGCTCCTCTGGCCCCCAAGGACTATTTGTGGCTCCTTTCGCTCCCCCAAAACCTGTACCCTCTGCTAGCACCCCAGGAAGGAGACAATGGACTCCATCTAGTGGCACCTGGTGACCCAGCCTGTCCTACCCCCACACTAGAGGGACAGTGGTGCCATCCTGCTCAAAGTGCACAGGACAGCCCAGGAGGAGCAGAGGGCAGCTCATGGCTCTGCCTGACCCTGGTCACTGCGAGCCACCCACTATCCTGTGTCTTTGGGGGAAGCTGGGGCAGGGAAGTGACAGGAAAGTGAGGGCAGAGCGGGGGATGCAGGGACAGACTCGTCTGCTGAGGCTCCGTGTCTTGGGAGGGAGGGGAGAGGGGAAAGGCCACGCCGAAGGGGAGAGGCCCAATGTCCAAACAACCTTCCTGGGTCAGCACAGTCCATAGCACAGTGATGGCATCAGGGCTGGCATGGCCGTGTGACAGAGGGTGGCACATTTATCACAGCAGTCTGTGGTGGTGAACACACCAGCACATGTACCTGGCACTGGAGGGACGCAGTGTGCCACGGCCTCCAAGAGCACCAGCCATCCCCACCCTTCTCTACAGCAGCTCTTGGGAGATAGGGGTGACACAGAGAGAAGCGTGACCTGGGAACCGGTGATGCTGCCACAGGATGATGGGTGCTGGCACAGTGCTCGGGTATTGACAGATCCACCTGGCTCCCACAGGGAAGCCGGAGGCTCCAGAGGTGGATGGCAGTG